TGTAATGAAGTTGAGAATGAGAATTTGAGAGGTGGGTTAAACTTTGGTGTGAAAATGGCCGTTTATCAGACCTGCAAATACCATGCTAAGACGACATGGGCTTGATTAATCAGGACCTTCTCTTCTCATCTCATCAACTTTCTAAGAATTTGGGCCACAATTGGGGTAACAGTACTTGTTGGGCCTCGAGCAATCAAAAGTATAAATAGTATGTTTTTACATTTTTAGGCTCCAAAGGCACACGATTTGAGGATGAGGTAAAAAATATTTATAGGATCAAAGTGTTGTGCCGTATGAAAATTTGAGTTGTCTGATCATCATGTAACAACGTTGGTAGCAAAGATGGATGTCATGTGAAACCAAACAATACCCAAATAAATTTGGGAGAGGGAAGTTGACTTCATTTTCTTTTTGGGCAAATAGTAGTAGATTTTATAGTTGACTATGCAATTTTTTCTTTTTGTGGTGAATTCATTAGTTTTGACTTGTAAACTTAATTTTTAATTGTTTCATTGATTAATTGATTGTTTCATTTTACTTAAACATAAATAAATTAACTTTATTTTAATTCAATTATGAGATTTTACTTGTATTAATATAAAAAATTTCAAAACATTAACTAACTCTTTCAATTTAAACATGTTTATTAAAAATGAAGAGAACTCATTTGATTCAAACTAACAAGAATTATTAAGTTAACACACGAATTTGAGAACACCATGCTAGAAATGTCCGTCCCCATACTCAGGATTTATTCCGTACCCAAAAAGGGAAAAAATTGCAATGTGGTAAGCTCTAACTCATGGCTTGTGTGGGGTAAGCCCTGCTTTGAGTTTCTGAATTGTGGCAGCATCAGCCTTGAAAGACTTGGCTAAGATGGCATCGTCAATCCGGTGGGGAACACCGAAGTTGGAACTGACACGGTTCCGGCGTTGGCACTGCCGAACGCAGAGAGTCTGATGGCCACGTCTGTCTCATCCCTGTTAAACTGGTACTACACCAGTCCCTTGCGGAACACGAAAATGTCCCCTGCTTGAAGCCTCTGAGTGTAGGGCTTATTGGTGGTGTCGATGAACCCGATATCCAGGACGCCGTAGATGAGAAAGAGAAGCTCCGCCGCACGAGGGTGGGTGTGAGTAGCGTTCACTAACCTAGCAGGATTCTGCAAAATAGCGAAAGAGACACTCTGGTCATTGAGAGCTGGGAACTCTGCCATGCTGTGGCTTTGCTGACTGTGAAATTTGACGGAGCTTGGTCCTCATTGACAATCGACCGCAATCCGGTGAAGGTGAAAAACTGGCCGGTGACATTCGGAGGAGCCAGGAAATCGGGAGAGGATATCTGGGTCGCTGGAAACTGCTATTTGGAAAAAAGCAAAGGAAATTACTATGGCAAGGAAGAAGTGTTGCTTGACAATGTTGAAGGCCATGGTGCAGTTAAAATTGAGGGAAAAACAGAAGATTAATTGATGTTGCTATGCGTCTAGGCTTCAGAAAATGTTGTCTTTATAGTTCAACTTGCAGGCCTGATGCTGTTCAAAAAAAAAAAATTTTTGCAGGCCTGATAGGTCCATTCATATTACATCAATTGGGCAGGCATTTGAGAATACTTCAAATTCCAAATCAAATACAGAACATTCTTTTTCCTGTCAATGATAACACCGTTCATTATGTCTTTTTTTTTTTATTATGTGTGGATTACACAATCAGGAGGGGAAACAAATTAACATTTTCCCTGCCCTTTAGCTGTGGCTCCTCTCTCATGTATAAGATGAGATTCAATAGCTGATTCTCTTATACGACCATCAAAGAACTTTCTTATCTCGGTGCAAAAATTAATATTAATATACACTCATTTAATATTACGCGATTATTATGAAATTTTATTGTGTGTATGTTAATTCCATTTTTTTTCTAAGTTTTTTTGGTTAAGGTGAACTGTAAGAGAAAAAATAATATAGTCATTTTGGTGTATCTTGAGCTTTTGTTAATTTAAATGCTGTGTTATGAAATTCTCATTACACAATATTGTTTTCTTTTGAAATTTGGTTCTGCTTTGGGAAATTTAAATCTTTCATTCGGTATATCCATTACTTTTGTCCATTATAACAAGAAATCCGTCATTAGCATTTGACATCTAAATCGGTGGCCTTCAAAAACGAAGGGAAAAAGGGTAAAGAGCAGGAAGTTTGTACCAAGTCTTACTGTTAAATAGAATATAAAATGACATTCAATCGTATCTCACAACAAACTTTTACAGTCATAGGTAAAATTATAAAGAAGTTCATTAGATGGTATTTGACAAAGAAGCACTTATCATGGCCTTTCACCATGTGACTGCAGTGGCGGTCACGCTTCTCATTGAATGAGAAGCAAGTGTAGGTGCCTGGATCCTTAGGTCGAGTCTTAGACTCAACATTTCTCCCATCCCTCGAACAGGTACTAATACTATTAATGTATTTACGATTGTCAAAAAAAGAAGAAGCACTTATCATGAATTTGAGATTGTATTTATTAACTACCTTTATTATCTATCAATGCATTTAATATACATGCAATAATATTCTTAACATATTCGTTATTGTTCTTCCATACCAAATTCCCCATTACATAAGACTTTAGACAATTGAGCCCTGACTTTATAACCATCTGTAACTCCTATGCCATTACAGTGTCTTTGACCATCCAAGAAAGTAGGCATAGTGAAACATTTAGAAGTTCAGTCCAGCCCTATGATACCAAGTTCATAATGCATCAGACAAAGAACATTAACACGTACACCTTGGCAAAACACACACACACACACATACATACATGCACTCGTAACAGGGTAAAGTGGAGGCTTCAGCTGCCTCTAAATAAGAGAAATAAAATGAGCTTGCAGCAATATAATCAAAAGGTGATCCTAATCATTCCAATAATAGAAAATACTGGCTTTAATGGTACCATCAACCACACACAGCAAGACAGTCAATACCTGTTTAGCAGATGAGATGGTAAAAGAAGCCACAAAAATTTACAAAAACCAAATCTAGTTAAGATTAAAGTCACAAGTCTCAGTTTTTATTTCTCATCATTGCTTTCAAGCAATGGGATGTTACGTAGTCAAGATGCCAGTTCAAGTTCAACCCTTATGAGTCCCTTCAGTGTTCTGCAAAAAGATTAAAAAAAAAAGGGGGAACATGTTAAAAGAGAGCTAAATTGGAAAAAAGAAAACCATTGTCACAAGAAAATCAGACAAGCTATAACCAAAATCTGTTCGTCATCAGGTGTTTCAAGCCAGAACGGAGGCACACACAGTATAGATGCATCATGCATTACACAAATGTTAGAACTTGTTATTTTGGGAGTTCAGCCAAAGAGTTAAATTCAAGTCAAAATCCAATCACATGGTATGTGTTCAAAAGCTAAAATTTTTAAGTTTCAACATAGAATAGCTTCTGTCATCTCTACATCCATAGCCATAACCATAACCAAAACATATCAAAATAACTATCCGTATGTATCTCTTCTCTACTAGCATACTAGAATTACATTCAGCTTGGAAATTACTAGAATTACATTCAGCTTGGAAATTCACGAGACAACAGACAAACAATTCAAAAGATCTCAAATATTGAGTTTGAAAACCACTTAAAGAGGAAACATTTAAAACCAAATTACCTTCTCAGCACTCCCTTTCTCTTTCTCCAGCTTTTCTTTCTCAGCATGCTTCTTCTGCTTCTCAAGCCTCTCCCTCTCCATTTTCTTCATACAAAGAATCGGTTTCATCAAGGAGAATACGTAAGAAGGAACAGAAAACAAATTGATTGCAATAAACGCAGCGAAGAATCATTTTCATCAACCAAAAATTCCAAAATCATGAAAATCCGGCTTGAAAACCATACGATCGAGCTCAGTTACTTATGATGAAAAATTCAATTGAAGACTGATCTCTTTCTAAATAAGCAGGAGAAATCACAGACCTGAATAAACACCGTTTCCTTAGCGCGTTCCTCCTCGCTCAGAACTCGGCCCTTGCCGTCGGAAAAGTAGCGAGTGGAGCCCCGAGTTGACTCCATCATCGACCCTCTCCTCCTCGAAATAACAACTCGGCTCACTGCAGGTATCATCGACAATTTCCGACACCCCTGATCGGCCTTCGTCAAGAAAGAAAATGCCAATATATTCGGAACCAGCGAATCGGATCGGGTTCGGGTACTGTAAGTGATTTTCGATTTTTTGTTATTTTTTTATCTCACTGAGAAACTGGATAAAGATTCTATCATCCGTTGGGCTTCTGTCTGTTTGGGCTGACTATACTGGCTGGATTGTGAATTTAGCCCAATAGATAAATATTACGTCACATATAGATTTACAACATTTTTTTTCTTTCTTTTTAAATTTTAAATAAATAATAATTCTCCGTCGGGCAAGAGGAACCTCTTGAATTGTTGTCTCCTACCTTTGGAATTCATTCCTTCTCCTTCCTTTGCTAAAAGATATGTATCATCCAACCAGAGGCGGAGTTCGCGGTGGCCGGGATCGTAAGTGCTTTATTCCGTCAAATTTTTTTATCTTTTAGGGTTTGTGTTTCTGTATTTAGGTATTTCGTGCACCATTCTTTTTTCTCCCAGTATAACTGTTTCTTCTGTGATTTACTTGCGATATAGATTAGTTCCAAATATTCAGTTGCCTCTTTCAATTGTTGATTACTCTCTGAGGTTTGCTTTGATTTGTTAATACTTTGGATTTAGAAATCGAATTCCATATTCTAAGTTGAATGTTTATTTATTTATTTATTTATTTTGGTAATTTCTTAGATGAATCTGTAGAAACCTTTATTAATATGTTGGATAGAAGGAAAATGAAAGGATGAAGACTTAAATTGGTATAGCAGAAATTTCTGTTTTTTTTTTTTTTTTTCTGTGAATTATATTTAGATCTAAGTTCTAAGATATCAAAAAAGATGAGATTCTACACATAATTTGTCATGAAATTTTTGCCAAGTTTTATATATGTAGTGGGAATTTCATGTTCATAAAGCTTACTAGAATTTCAGTTTTGCTTATTTTCAAGCAACTTAAATTACAGAAATGAGTATTTGATTCTTTTGTGCAGAATTTAGTTGGGATGATGTGAAGGTCGATAAGCATCGAGAGAACTATCTTGGTCACAGTATTAAGGCACCTGTTGGGAGATGGCAGAAAGGTATGGTTTTGTTATTGGTTTGGTTTTTACTGTTTCAGCTTGCAAAATAGAGTTGGCCTGAAGAGGTTCTGCCTTTGGCAGCAACCAAGAAAACGTGATTATTGAATGAATTTTGTTTTGAAGTCAAATTTATTTGGGATAAATTAGATTAAATTATTCTGCTCTGACTTTCAATTATATATTCTTGAATCTGTTTTTTCCATAGGGAAGGATCTACACTGGTACACAAGAGATAAAAAGGGTGAGGGTTCTGCTGCCGAGGCTCTTAAAGAAGAAATTAGAAGAATTAAGGAAGAGGAGGAGCAGGCCATGAGGGAGGCTCTGGGCTTGGCTCCTAAGCGTGCTAGCCGACCTCAAGGCAGTCGCCTTGATAAGCATGAGCTTTCAGAACTAGTGAAGAGGGGGTCTACTGCAGAGGACTTGGGTGGAGGTCATGCTGAAGCGGCAAGGGTTGATGGTCTTGGCTTCTCAAGGTACATTATAGTCATTGTCTTATTACTTTTTGTTGAACTAGTTATTGAAGTGCTTATGTGCAAGAAAACAAAATAATATATCCTCTTGTTCCCTCTGCCAGACTGCCACATTTAACTTAACATTGTCCATAGTCATTAACTTTCATATTTAGGCATACCAAAAAAATATGTTGTTAATATCATGGCTGCCAAAGGATCTAAGAGTGGTCTTAAGTTACTAATTTGTTTGCTTTACTTACCCTGGAGTTGTCTTCCCTATTAACTGAAATGCTTAGAGTTCAATGTGATACCATTATTGCATGATATTATTTTGTGTCGGTCTTCAATGTTATTGCTAAATAGCCTATGGCTTTTGGACGAAGAGTTTTCTTCTTGCAAACTACCTTCTCGAGCATTTTTGATCATCAGTTGTGTCTTTTGGGTTTTTCTCTGCAATTGATTCCTTCTTGGGTGAAAATTTTGCTGCAGAGCACCACGGCCTTGGGAAGATCCAAATACACTTCCTTCTAGTGAGAGGGATGTCTCACCTGAGATGGTGAAGGTGGATGCAGCTGCACCACCACCTTTAACCAGTGATAGGGTAGAAGATGGTTCTGAGGATGAAAGTAGTAGGAAGAAAAGGAGGCGTGAGGAAAAAAGGCAGGACAAACATGATGGAAAGAGACAGGAGAAGCGTGAGAGACGTGAGAAGCGACACTCCCGTGATTCAGATGACAAGAGAAAGCGGAGAAAAGACAAGGAGAGGAGGAGACATGATTCCGACTCTGACTGAACACCTTTCTAATATGAAGCTCTAGTCTGTACCATTTTCTGTATGTTTCAAAGTATTGAACTTTCATTTTGATTCTACCCAAATTGAAACTTGAAATTCAGTCTTATTTCATCTGAGACTACCAGATATCGTTGCTGTTTGAGAATTGAGTTAGGCCACAGGATAACGATATTGTGCAAATTGTCCGCGTTGGCGCCATCTTGGAATTGCCATACATAAATTCTGAGATGCTTGTCATTTTTGCAGGGTAAGGTTCATAATTGAAAGGTTTCTTTCTAGATTCTCTATCCCATGAAATTGCTTTTCTTTTTTCTGCAAATCAGAGCCTCTGCATTTTTTGCATTGTCATTGATTTTGATGGCAAGTCTCTCTCTTCTCTGTCCATACCATGCCAATATTGCTTGCCGAATGTGAAATGAATTGAACTCTAATTTTTATTTTTATTACAAAGAGATTATTATAAAAATATATATTAATTTTTATGTATATTATTTATACAAAATTTTAATCAAGATTTATTTATTTTTATTATATTTTTAAACATTAAGTATTTTTTTATGATAAATTTTAATTATTATAAAAATAAAAAAAAAGGATGAAGGGTTAAATTTTATGTAATTAATATGTAAGTGAATACTAACTATTAGTTAGTTAAATTTTGCAATGCAATTTGCTCTATTAGAGTATATACTATTTATTAGTTGCTTTTGCCAGCTGGACGAAGCAGAATGATCAAGAAAATTGGCTCTAGGAAGTCATTTTGAAAAGAGAGTTATTTATTTATATTTAAATTTTGATTTAGACTTAAACTACTTAAGTTAAGAGAGAGAAATGTAGAAGAAAAGTTTTTGCTTCAATCATTTCGATTCCAGAGACGGGGACCAAACAGAAAAAAAAAAAAAAAAAAAAAAAAGAAAAGAAATTGTCTCTCTCTCTTTTTCTCTTTCTCTTTCCTCACTAAACAAGAAAAGAAAAAAAAAATCATTTTTTTTTTATATTTAACAACAATTAATTGATTGAGCGTGGGAAAGGGGAAAAGGCAGCGATTGCGTGTACCGTCGATAAGAAGAGGACGATCGGTGCTGCTGAGGCTGCCGCTTAGAGAACGAATTTGGTGCAATTGCGAAAAATGGTGTCGGCGAATAGGGAGATGGCGGTCTACTGCTTCGACACTTTGGTGGCTCACTACAGCGGCGAGGATGTTCCGCCTCCAGCCTTCGAAGACGGCGAACAGTAATTTCTCCCTCTCCCGTAGATACATCTCTAATTATCCATGTATGTATGTATGTATGTGTGTGTGTGTGTGCGTATTTATGTTTTTAGAAACCCATTGAAGTTTTGGTGGATTGAATTTTTTTTTTTTTTTTTATTGTTTGATGATATTTTTGTTTGGTTTAAATGTTCTCAAATGATTTTTTTTTTTTCGATGTTATATGTATATGTAATGTGTTTCTTTTTCTTGATAATTTTTTTGCAAAAATACTGTTGAATTCAAGTAATTTTACAATTATAGAAAAAAAAGTTTTTTTTTTTTTTTAAATATATTTATTATAGAGGATTTACAGGAGGAAAACCTGCCTGCTGAATTAGAGTTAGGGAGCTGTTTTCTGAGCTATACTTGCATGAGCTTGTATGATTTTTAGTACTTGTTTTAATCATCTAATATCTCTACAATGCTTTGAAAACAATGTCCTTATTTAGTATAAAATCATCTTCTGGCTTTAGCCCATTGTTTGTCACCTGGAAGAAAATGGTGAATGGTGGGGAGCCTCGTCTGCGAGGATGTATTGGCACTCTTGAGGCTCGTTGCTTGACTGCTGGCTTTAAGGACTATGCTCTGACCAGGTATTAATGGAAAATATGTGCTGTAGATCTTAATTTTCTCATTGCTCTCCCTTTTCCCTCCCAATAATTGCAATAAATTTGTCAAAAACTCACAGTGATCGATTGCTTACTTTAAAATGCATTGTAGCCTCCCTGATTTATAGCAAATTACAGTTTTTATAATAGTAGTTGCATATTAACTAGTTCGATCAGAATAAAGTTGGTTTTTTTATTAACTAGTGTCCTGTTAACTCATTCCTGCGGCTGCAATAGGGAGTTGACATTAGTGGGATGAAGCAGGTAGCTTGATTTTGAAAGTCTCTGAATTGGTATTCAGAAAGCCATTAGATAAAGGCATGATAACCTTATCTTAGCTCTCAAAAAATTGAAGACACCAAGCTTTTTATTGATTGCTTTGTATATACTTCTTCGGACTGAAAGAGAAACATAGCTACTAC